GCCCACCCATCGAAGAAATCAGTTCTGGTGCACACGACCACCTTGTGCATCTCCAAAAAGAAATTATTGCCATTCGAACTACTTGATCTAGACTTAAGCACATCAGCATATGAGGCTCCTCTATTTGCCCCTGTTTTCTAGGAAATAAACCTATTCCCCTCTGAATTTCCCCTGCGAGTACTGAATACAGATTGATTATTTCTATTATGGCCCCCCTTGTCTGTAGTCCTTACCTCCCTTTCAACATTTGAAACCCTGGTGCCTCCATGGATGACTCGTTCAAGCATCTTGGCCATTGCCTGCCACCCCTGACCATCAACCCCTGCTGGAATGATGATGTTATTTCGTTTCACCCCAGCCTCCCATTTTGACATCTCAACAAAGATACCTCCCTTGTTACTAAATTTCTGAACCCAAAAAACTGCTGAACTACTTGTGTATTTGGAGAAGAAAGGTCGGTCATAATGCTGGCTCCATACCTGTCGCAAGGCTTTAATGGCCCAAGAAACACCCCCCAGATCTATCTTCAAATTGTAACTTCGAAATCGATTCCTCTCAATGATCTCCACTAAGCCTCCTCTGGATTCAGAATCCACCTGAATGGTGATAAGCTTCTGTTCGATTCACAGCTCAGAAGCTCCCCCGACAAAAACACTCAACCTCACTCTCTCACTCATATTTTCCCAATCACACACACACCCCACTGAGTCTATTCTGTATAATAAAAAATTAAAAAAAAATCAAATGTATCCCCATGCTGGGTCGAAGATGCTTCCAAGCATGTCCAAAGAGCAAGAGTGAGATCCCTATGGTGATTCTCCATGCACCCTTTTTGGGTTAGCTCCAAATAGAAAAGAGTGTGAGCAAATAACTATCCAACCAATCTCCTTTCCACTCACCCACAGGTTAATACGCACAAACACTTCTAAGAAGGTGACGTGTCCTTGTCGGACACCAACACTCTTTGTACACTCTTAAGACACGCGTCTGACACTCTTCAAAGCATGTCCTATTTTTTAAATTTTTTTCAAGACTCGGACACTCTTTGGACACTTGGAGGATACACGTGTCTATTACTTAAACACACATATCTATCGATTAAACACATGTGAAACTAATTATAAGTTTGAACAAAATAACTTAAAACACAATAATAAAACAAAAACCATATAAATATATAGAAATTAGTGTCATATTACATTTTTTATTATCTTTGAACGATATATTCATATATATAAATATATAAAATTATATATTTCATGTATCGTGTCTTGCATTTTTTGAAAATTAGCGTGTTGGCGTATCCGTGTCGTATCCATGTCATGTCACATGTCCATGTCCATGCTTCTTCGGCCACAGGAATTGAGATGGGAACAAGGTCTGAATCCTTGCACAAGGCCATTGGAATAATGTGGCTTGGAGGCTAGAAACAAGGATTGTCAATATCACTTGGCTCACATAGCCCCACCTTGACCAACCTTAGAGAGAGAGGCACAAACATAGCCTTTATGTGATTCTCAAAGATCATATCATGCGTACCTCTTTGGCACTATGATGTGAACCCCAATGGTTAAACATACCTACCACTACACACACCCCATGATATGGCTCCCAAAATTTGACTTCGAGCCATAGTGACTAGTCCATACATTCGAATTGTCGAATCAAAGAGGTTACACTAGTTGTCTCCATTGAGCTAGCTCCCATGGTTCGAGTCATTCAATTCTCTTATAAAAGGGGATATCTCCATGCATGAACAACAAGCCTTTAATTGAACCCTCTTCGGCAAGGTCAAAAGTATCCCCATTGCAACTCTCCCTACTAGGGTTTCCTTGGCTCTCTCCTCCGCCTCTGGTGGTCTCTTGCCAACCATGTGCTGACCATCTTTGCAAATCACTTAACTTCAACCACACCAAACACCATCTCTCCATTTCATCCACGATGTCCATATCTAGAAACCTAAAAAATTCATGTGATTTAATCTGGTTTACAACCAAAGTTTTAAAAGGCTTTGCCTCAAGGCTTTGATTTTTAGGCTTTACTCCCCAAAGAATTGCGCACACAGTCTTGAGACATGTGCCTTGGGTGCATCTTGTACACTTTTTACGCATAAGCATGTGAGGAGTAAGCATCTAAAGGGTTTACCTTAGGCTCTTGTTAAGCTTAGTCTAGTACCTCATTTTGCAACTATATTCTATAGGAAAAATTAAGTAAATGACCAATCAAGAAAAAAACACAAAGTTAATGCTTAGTGAGAAGCTCAATCACTAAAGCTAAAAATACCAATTTCACTTCAATAAATCAAAACTTCCTTCTCCACACGAAAAAAAACGTAATTACACCTTTATTTTTAATTTTGATGTATTTATTTATTGTTTTAAGATATTTAAATTATTTACTAAATATAAAAATTTGAAATTTGAAATTCTTAAGCCTCAATGCCTTAAGGCTTATGCCTCGCCTCATGATGAGTGGTTAAACGTCTTATGTAACACATTTGCCTTTAAAAACATTGGTTACAACTATTGCTCTACATTACCACTACACTACATTATCGTCTAAGAAGCACAGACATGGATACGAAATGGACACACGACAAGACAATTTTCAAAAACTACAAGATACAACACGTGGGAGATATGTACGAAATATATAATTTTATGTATTCATTATACATCATATATATGAATATATCATTTAAAGATTTAAAAAAACGTAATATAACACGCATTTCTGTAAATTTAGGGTTGGTTTGGGGTGTACTAAAAAAGTGTACTTTTTGTCTTTTTACGAAAAGATGTGCAGAAAAGTAGAGAGGTGATGTGATAGAAAAAAGATAAAAAGATAAAAAGATGGATTATATAGTAGATGACAAACAAGGCTTTACATTGTTTTTCTTTTATTATTGTATCCTAAGTTATTTTGTTAAAACTTATCATTAATTTCATGTGTCGAATCGATGGACATGTGTCCTTCAAGTATTCAAAGAGTGTCTAGGTCAAAAAAAATAGGACAAATTTGACGAGTGTCGGTGTCCAACAAGGACATGACATGAAAGTGTCCATGCTTCTTAGGTTATCATTAAAACTTGTTGTTCTTGTTAATATGTTTGCTCCTACAGCTGCTACTAGTCACATTATCATATTTCTTTGTTGTTTAGACTTTATTATCATATGCCATAGAACCTGCCCTTCACTAGCTTGCATCTTTTTGCATCAGCAGTTGATGGTCCAGAACTCAGTCAGACAAAAATTCAAATGACCCAACCGATTGTGTACACAAAGTATGTAAGTGAAGCAACAAAGAAACAATATGAATAAAAATGAAGATTAAGAGAGTATTTTAGTATCTAGGGAAACAAGGCAGAGGTCGAAGAAATGATTTATTGCGAGGACAATGGGTTAACATTAATTACAACCAACCAAATTACTTGTGGTTTAATTTTGAAAAGAAATTGAATATTCCTTCTTCAGATTCCATAGTAATCCTCTGATATTAGTTTCTTTATAATATCTTCTGTACATACATTCTTATAGAATCATCCAAATAGTAATATTTAGTTTCTTTATAAGCTAAACAGCATCCAAGAACATTTGATCCTAACTTGATATGTAAAAGTTTGGAGAGAAATCCTTCTTCCTGAAGTAGCTTCCATGCACACCCTACGACTAAAATTCATTACGCACAGTTATTTATACAGCATTATTTGTGATATTATTATGCACTGTCAAACTAGGATGCAACAACACTACCATCTAAATAGCATAACCATAACTCAACATTTCAAAATAAAACTAATAAACATATGTATATCAAAGGACAAAGTGAAGCATCCCAACATGTAGAGCAAACACAACAAAAGTAGTTGAAAGTGAAGTGATCGGTCATGGACCTTTGGGATGATGGTGGGCAATTCAATGGCTAGGAGTCCTCCGAAGTAAGGAAGAGAGAACCAAGTAAGCCGTAAAGGGAGAGAGTGTGGCAATGTAAGAGAACCTTGCCACCAAAGTGATAGAAAAAGATGAAAACAGTTGTGTTGTTTATGTCCATGGATATCCCTTATATAAGGTCCAAGACCAACGGAGCCCAACCCACCTATGAACAATTGAACTCCTCTAGGTCCAACAGAGGGATATATCAGGCCTATCTCTGTCTCCCATGATTCAAACCTCAGAGGTCGTATCATAGGAGTTGCAAAGTTAGGTATGATACATCATAGGGTGTATAATAGCATGATGTAGCTGGTAGGTATCGTACCTCTTCCGAGGTGTCAGGTGTTGGGTGAAGGTCCCTCTCTCTAAGATGAAATCAAAAAGGGGTTGCTACCTAGGGAAAGCAAGCCAAGAAACGTTAACGAGCCATTGGTCCTAGCCTCCCAAAATCCTACAATGATTCCGAGTAGTAGTTGCTGCCAACTTTAGATGCCACGATGGTGACAATGATGGTAGTTATAAGTAAAATTCCTAGCTAGTGGGTAAGGACATAAGGGAGGCATCACCAAGTTGAAAGCCAGGCTATGCTGCTATCAAGTGCCAAACAGAGGTACATTAGTTTGATCGAGAAGAACTCCTGGCCACTTCTCGTCATACCCTATGGGAATGAGGTATAAGGAGCCGTGGTTTGGCAAGAGCTCGTCCAACAAAACCATGACACTACCAAGCAACGCTTGGCTGAGTGGCGTTATGGACCATGCCTTGAGACTCCTACTTTGACTCATTCAGTAGGTGTTTAGGCCTGCGACTGAGGTGTCAATCACATTAGTGGGCTAAGCTACCATACTTGGTGATTGTTGTACCTCCACTTAGCTAAGCACATAACCACAACAAATCTCATAGATGTCATCACACCCTTGAAGGCTTGCCACATGAAGGGTGAAGACCATGACATAGGAGATGATGCGGTGCTCATGGGTTCCACCACAAGGCAAGGGTAATCCATATACCCCAAAAACCAACTAAAATAAAATACAACACATTTAAAAGATGGGATACATGACATACCAAGAAGCTTGTAGTAAGCTCTGTAAATAACTGATGTGCCATCAATGAGCATTACTCTACCATTTGAAGAATCAAGATTGGCTGATTTCTCTACACCCTTGAAAGAATCAGAAACTTCATTTTGACATAGTGGTTCTTCATAGGTAGATATTCCCATATTTCCAGACGAAGTTGCAGAAGGAACTCCAGATAAATCTGAATCCAAACAACTGGAGAGCTTACAGTAATCCTGTTAGACAAGCACCACATTCAATGTATAGTAAGATGAAACAACCCTGACTCCGATGTGGTTGCCGAAACACAATTGATATTTGATGATGTAGCAATCACACAAAAAGGTTCTATATTTTAGTAAAGCAAAAACATCACGCAACACCAGGTTTAGTAAACCTAAAATGATGTCAAACAATTTTACTAGTCTAAAGGCTTCATTTCACATTTCCTATTTCCCATAATGCCACTAATAAAGCAATTGTGCACGCGATTGATTATTGAGCATTACCTTCTTAAAAAGTACGGACGAAGGACGAGTTCCATATGGTTGTTTCTTAAGATTGCAAAAGTTTCGAGCCCGCTGAATCATTAACAAGTTCCTTTTATGGCAATATAGAGTCCTTGAAAAAGAGTGAATGAGATAATGTGAAATTTGATAGCATGCCATCAATTCATGCCAGCTTGTCTGGAGAATATGTTTCTGAAATTGATATATATATATATATATATATAGCATAAGAAATGAGTTTCTATTGCACCAGTGGCCTGAAATAATGAAATCCCACAAATGAAACCAATTGTCATATAAATTTAAGAGAAAATTACAAAATAAATACTAGGGTTTGAGTGTGGGAACAAATTAAAACCCTAGTATTTCAATTTAAAAACAATATTTCAACCATTCTTTTTTGATACCTCCACTTGAGTCCCTTTATTGATGGAGGAGGCGGTGGTTGTGCGGAGGAGCAGTGGCGGTGGGGATGGGAGCAACGACGGTGCTCTGTGCGTGAGGACGGTGGTGATGGGCGGTGACGATCGGTGGTGGAAGGCCTAACTGCAATGGAAGGGTGGTGACTGTGTTGTCTTGTCAGGGTTTATCCGGTTTGGACGGGGTGATTTGGGGGGAAATTATAAAATATCTTTTGGAAAAATTACAGACAAAACAACACAGGGTTTAAGCACGAATTTTGTGGTGAGTTATCACTCTGAATGGGAGTTTTTTTTTTATAAGAAAAATTAGGTGCCTTTTCTCAAACTAAGCATCTTTCGCCTCTTATTTTTTAAATTAGTCCTAGTTTTAGCGAAATCTTCAAATTAAGGTAAAGCGCTATTATAAATTGTGCTTTAACTGTTTAGAGGCCAAAAGCTTCATTTCACATTTCCTATTTCCCATAATGCCACTAATAAAGCAATTGTGCACGCGATTGATTATTGAGCATTACCTTCTTAAAAAGAACGGACGAAGGACGAGTTCCATATGGTTGTTTCTTAAGACTGCAAAAGTTTCGAGCCCGCTGAATCATTAACAAGTTCCTTTTATGGCAACGTAGAGTCCTTGAAAAGGAGTGAATGAGATAATGTGAAATTTGATAGCATGCCATCAATTCATGCCAGCTTGTCTGGAGAATATGTTTCTGAAATTGATATATATATATATATAGCATAAGAAATGAGTTTCTATTGCACCAATGGCCTGAAATAATGAAATCCCACAAATGAAACCATTGTCAATATAAATTTAAGAGAAAATTACAAAATAAATACTAGGGTTTGAGTGTGGGAACAAATTAAAACCCTAGTATTTCAATTTAAAAACAATATTTCAACCATTCTTTTTTGATACCTCCACTTGAGTCCCTTTATTGATGGAGGAGGCGGTGGTTGTGCGGAGGAGCAGTGGCGGTGGGGATGGGAGCAACGACGGTGCTCTGTGCGTGAGGACGGTGGTGATGGGCGGTGACGATCGGTGGTGGAAGGCCTAACTGCAATGGAAGGGTGGTGACTGTGTTGTCTTGTCAGGGTTTATCCGGTTTGGACGGGGTGATTTGGGGGGAAATTATAAAATATCTTTTGGAAAAATTACAGACAAAACAACACAGGGTTTAAGCACGAATTTTGTGGTGAGTTATCACTCTGAATGGGAGTTTTTTTTTATAAGGAAAAATTAGACTGACAGTTGAGATTTTTTGTTTAATACCGGAGTTTTTTCCAAACTAAGTCTCTTTTGTTTCTTATTTCTCAAATTAAACCTAGTTTTGACAGAATTTTCAAACTAAGTTAAAGCGCTATTACAAATCGCGCTTTAACTGTTTGGAGGCCAAAATTTGATGAATAGTTAAGGTGCTATTGTGAATCGCAATTTTAATTAAGAAAACGCTGTTCTGAATAGCGATGTTAACCTCAATTATAAAACGCTATTCTGAATAGCGCTTCATTTGCTGATTTTTGCGGATTGGTTTTATAAAGAAAACGCTATTACAAATAACGATTTCACTTCTGAATAAAACGTTATTGGAAATAGCGATTTTAATTATGAATAAAACGCTATTTAGAATAACGTTTAAACTGTTTCAGTGCCAATTCCTTTGCTGGTGTCATTGTTTTGGTGATAATGTGATTCATAAAATTTTATTGGCTTTAAAGCCATTGTCATGTTAAAATTTATTTTTTTTTCTTTTGTTTTTGTTTTTGTTTTGGTTTAGAATGTGTAATTCATAAATTTTACATAATATGAGAAAAACCTCTTTTCATATATTTATTTTACATAATATTTTTCATATATATAATTTTAAAATCATATTCATTTAGATATTATTAAGCCAATCATGTTCATTTACAAAAGTCATGGTTTCACTGTTCACTATTGTAAGCATGGATTGAAACCACACTTTCACTGTTCATTTAAATTAGATTTAATTTTTTTTTGTAAATATTTTTTTTCTGTTGTCATTGTTTCGGTGATAATGTAATTCATAAATTTTGTTTGGCTTTACTGAAGCCGTTCTCATGTTAAATTTTTTATTTTTTCTTTTGTCTTTGTTTTGGTTTAGAAAATGTAATTCAAAAATTTTTTTGGTCTTTGCTAGTGCCGTTTTCATGTAAATTTTTTTTGTTTATTGTTTTGTGTTTGTTTTGGGTTAGAAGGTGATAATATAATTAATAATTTTTTTTTTTTTTTTGCTTTACTAAAGTCGTTTTCATGTAAATTTTTTTTTTCTTTTGTCTTTGTTTTGAGTTAGAAGGTGTTATTCAGAAAATTATTTTGGCTTTACGAAAGCTGTTTTCATTTAAATATACATATATATTAATCATTTTGTCTTTGTTTTGGGTTAGAAGGTGGGAATGTAATTCAGAAAACCAGTTTAGTAAAACCGTTTTGTACCCGTTTTCATTAAAAAAATTATTTTTTTGTTTCGTCTTTGTTATGGGTTAGAAGGTGATATGCATGCTCTACAGTCCGAAGCACACCCACACACTGTGCAGCTCGACGAGCAACGACAAAGGGTGAGACGCGAAGACCACCGCGGAGTAGGCCAAGAAGACGAAGGCCACAGCGAGAGCTCCTAAATAAATTTTGTCAACATTTTTGTAATAAATCTTAATACATAATATACGAAGTCACTAATTTACTAAATACTCATACAAGCATGAAAACAACATAACTGAAGTTGCAAATGTAATAGTTTTCAGTTACATAGGTAGTACAGACATAATTCTCCCACAAAAATACATTCTGGACACCATGAACTGAACACACATTACATACATCCTGGACATCCTGAACTGAACACACAATACATAAACATAACAGTTAGACAGGCAAACACCTAATTCATGACCTATTATTGCATATTAATAGCCGCAACATTTGACAGACACAATACATAAACATAAACATAAACATAACATAACAGTTATACTTACTCTAACACAAACATTACATATTAATGCATGACCTAATATTGCCGAAGTGTAGACATTAACACCTAATTCGCGCTTAAATCGGCAGGTGGCTCAGAGTCTGAATAATCCGAAAGCTCAGCATCAGAGACAAGCTTAGGATCCTTCATAATACCGTTGATAGCCGCAACATTTGGTTCTGTTCTGTTCTTCTGGGCATCCTTCTTAACTATGTATAGCTGCATATCGCGGGCTAACTTGCGGCGCATTTGAGAAATCTCACGTTGTAGTCTTTCACATAGTCGATCAACATTATCAGGATCTTCCTTTTGGATCTCAACAGAACGTGCTTTTGGCACCTTCAGTCGATTTTCCCGACATAATCTTTCCATTTGCACTCGCTCTATAAATAGTGCAGGCCACTTCAGAAGTCTAGCGTTTGCTAAACCATATCCTGTTTGATTATCTGATGGATCCTCCACCAAACCACATGGATCTCGATAGTATTTGGGCATGACAAAATGTCGCTTCCCAAACCTATCATGATAAGCACAAAAGGCATCTAACAAAGGAAATAGTGTTTCATCTTCAGCATTGCCACTTCCCCTTCCCCCTCCTCGTCGTGAATTGTCACCCCTTTGCAAGTTCCTACCACCTCTGCGATTCCCACTCCCTCCCATGAACCATGTAGCCATGCTAATTTTTTAAAACAAGTAAATGACAATTTCGTAGAGCGAAATGAGTTGTAAAGTTATGTCTTCACCTTTAGCCGTTTATATAGTTGCTTATGAACGGCTTTAGAAAGATGTCTCTGCATCACAATCCCACATATATGAACAAGGTATGAGTGTCACTAGACTGAAAAAACAGAGAAAAGCAAATACTGTGTACGAAGTCACGTGACTTGACAATCCATCTACATATACGAACAAAATAAAGTCATGCTGACTGTAAGGTAAATCAATGAATTAACTGTTGCCATGTGACATTCTGAATTGAGAATCCCATATATATCAGTAAGAGATGAGTTGTCACTGTAATTAAAAAATCGAGCAAAACATCAACTTGACCAAAGCCTGTGCACCAAGTCACATGACTTGGCAATCCATCTGCATATACAGACAAAAAAAGGGCATGCTCACTATAAGGTAAAACAGTGAATTCACTGTTGCCATGTGACTTTCTGAATTGAGAGTCCCACATATATCAAGTAAAGATGAGTTGTCACTGTAATAAAAAAATCGAGCAAAAAATCGAGAAAACCGAAGCCTATGCACCAAGTCACGTGACTTGACAATCCATCTGCATATACCGACAAAATAAGGGCATGCTCACTGTAAGGTAAATCAGTGAATTCAATGTTGCCATGTGACTTTCTGAATTGAGAATCCCACATATATCAATAAAAGATGAGTTGCCACTGTAATAAAAAAAATCGAGCAAAAAATCAAGAAAACCAAAGCCTGTGCACCAAGTCACACGACTTGACAATCCATCTGTATATACAGACAAAATAAGGACATGCTCACTGTAAGGTAAAGCAG